TATATATATATATATATATATATATATATATATATATATATATATATATATATATATATATATATATATATATATATATATATATATATATATATATATATATATATATATATATATATCCCCTCTAATACCTAACGATTCTTTTCAGGTGTTTGTTTTATTCTCAATGCAGTAATGATATGTCACTTTTGGAATTTTAATTCGCAAAAGTACCAAGCTGTGGGAAAAGTCTCGGTAATATTTTTAGAAATGGTCAAATAACTGTGAGTGGTGAGTGATAGGATCGTCTCTGCTTGTGCCTAAAATTTTAATTTTTGAGCAATACGGAATATTTTGTTAGCATAATTTATGCTGTTTTAGAAGCGTCCACGTTCACTTATACGTCGTACTTCACGTACAGGCAGTGGTACAGAAAGAAAAGCACGTTCTGAAAAATTTGCAAAAGGATATCACATTGTTTGATCTCAACTGTATGGGCTCATTTCTTTAAGTTCATGTTTCACTGATTGATTGTTGCTGATTCGAGATGTTGAACAGTATGTTCAATAATGCGCGTAAAGCAAATTTGTATGCACTATTCAACGATAAAATTAAACATTTTCTGTTTCTGAGTTTTTGGAAAGTTGTCATAGGACCCGAACAGATACAATATTTTTTCAAAATATATATATATATATATGTGTTATAAATTTTCGAAATCATGTTTCTCATCTACATAAATCGATGTATTTTGGAATACGCAACCGCTCTTGGCAAGAGATCTCGTAATCTGACACATATTTCTCACGTCATCTATTCCACTGTGTAATCGGCCCTGCAGAATGAAAGGTAATTTTCTCTTATATAGAAATGTGAAATGATAAAGGCATCTAGTTACCTTAGAAAGGAAGATAGGATTGTAAGATTACTTTTGAATGGTAAACTGGTTCCATCCAAAAAAAGAAACAGTAAGAAATAAATGAAAGGTTAAGACAGATTTGTGTGCGACCTGAAGCATAAGAAAGATTTGAAAATAAGTTAAAACACTATGATCAATTAAAATTAAATAAATGTACCAGATGGTTTAGTTCCAGATCATGAAGCATCACTGTTAGAGATTTGGCGAAATAACCGTTCCATTTGCAGAAGGCTTTTTTCAAATTAATCCATCTCTTGAAGTAGCTAAAATTTCATTTAAGCATAAAAGATTAAAAATATTACAACTAAAGGAAGAAAAACACTTCCTTGTGAAAGCACCCCACAGATGCATTACGGTTAATCGGTTAGTGCCATAAGGCATTTGAGGTTATCCTATACATAGTCACATCTGATATGTAATCACGATGCAAATCGTTAAAAAGCTTGCTCTGGTAGCTTCAAATTTCGATAATTCGCTTCGCTAGGGAGCAATACGCCAAGGTCCCAATCACCACATGTTATAAAAGTAAAATGTGATTTCATCGAATGATCGGCGTTAATCAAATTCGAATTGATGAGCCATTTGTCAAAAGCATCCAGAACTTCCGGAAGACTTTCTTGACTTGCAACTGTTTCCTAAAAAAATTTTTAAAAGTTAAAATTAGTGAAAAAAACTTATGTTCAAATAATTGAACTTTTTTGCAATCCGAAGAAAATGTAGCGTAATTTATCGCACCTGTACAATTCCAGTAAGTTCAGTACAAAACGATGTTAAAATTGGTCGCTCGGTAGGTTTTACATATCGATGAAATCGACTGATTTCTTCCAAATTTTTCCCGGATAACTGTATAACCGGGAATTCGATTATTTCCTGAAATATCCCATACACATAAATTTGATTCGTTTGAAATAGAAAAAAAAGGAAATAATAAAAAAAATAATTTTCTGCTACCCAGAAATTGAATACTGACTTCGAATTACATTCGAAACTTGAATACTTTAATAGAGAGTACATATAGAGAGGTGCTACTTGATGTGGCATAATTTTAATCCCTTCTTCACAAGTTGCTTCGAAATCGAGAACAAGGAAATAATCGAAGTTTTGTTTATTTATGGCAGATACATTTCTGTTCATTGCTTGTATCTTCGGAACCGAAGCACCTTGCATCAAATATTTCCAATTTTTAGCCTGAAAATTTGATAAACTCTGCATCAGAAAAGGATATAACAATGGCTGCAATGATAATTTCGAAGCTACATGAAGGAAAACCCAGAAAATCAAACTTTAAAATGATTTACGTGGTTAGATCACTTACCATTCCTCCGGAAGTTTTACAAACCGGGAAGGTACATCAGATTTTTAGTTATTACATTAATAAGTTATGTAAGCTAAGTGTTTCTAACTAGTGGACAAGATAATTTGGCAAAATTACCTTAGCAAAATGCCCATATGATGTCGAGAATTTATGGGAAAAAGCAATAATGTGTGGATGTGAAGTTTTTAGAATATGATTCATTTGGAACTCGTCCGTTCCTTAACCGCACCAATGGAATCTCACGTATGCATAAGTACCAGTGATTTTGAAATCCAGTAACCTGTTAATTTTGTTGCCTAGAATCAGCGTTCTAAATCATTTCTATTCCAAATAATGCATCTTTTACCTGTAATCACAATCGGCTGAAGTGATATCATTAGATATCACTCGACCTACATTACCGTACTGCTGAAATTAGCTGAATTGTCGTAAAATAATTGATATATAGATAAAGTATATCAAAAGATATTCATTTTATTTGTTTGTAGATTTTAGTTGTAGCTAATTTGAAATGCTTTTAATGAAATTTGAATATTAACACTTTAATGAATTTGAATATATCATGTACACATATATCGCTAACACCATCATAGAACTAAGGTATTTAACGAAAAACGCATTTTATAGATTACGGTAAACTAAAAATGACAAGGTGAACATGAGATCACAATGCGGCAAAGCATAGAGAGCATGTTCGAAAAAAAAAAAAAAGGCAGGATGATATGGATTACTCACCAGGATACCAAGTAATGATTGCTAATCAAAGAGTCCATGAGTTCTTTTGAAATACCATGTATCTTACATAACACATATCACAGAAAATTAGAAAAAATTCTACAATGATAAGTGAGAAATGAAAATAAAAACCGTACAATATTTGAAAACAACAAGAATTACGGAATATGGTAAAAAGTGCTCAGAAAAATTGAAAGTATAAAAAAATACAACCACGATACCAATTCAAAATATTAGAGGGAAAAAGGGACAGGAAAATAAAAATATTTGTTATGCAAGTATACTGTGTCCACTAGAAACTGCTTGCGCATACGAAGACCGTAACAAAAGTAAACTTGACAGGTGCTCTGGAGTCAATTTCAAAACGTTTTGACTTTTATGGACCACACAAGCAGCTGGAATGGAAAGAAGAAATCGAGCCAACAGCGACAAATGTGGAAATTGCGCCTGACCAACAGTGGACCAAAACTGCAGCACATCTCTAAAAGCAGAACTCTGCCACAGTTCAGTATCAACAGAAAAGATTGACATGAGATTCTGGAAATGGAAAATTATTTATCTACAATTAATCATTCCGAAAAAGGGAAAAGACCGGAATTGAAATTTGATAAATCTTCTAGTTATAACTTCAAAGTTTTCTAAAAGCATATATATATATATATATGTATATATATACAAAAGCATATATACATAACTTTTACAGCATACACTTTTTTTAGACTAATAAATGATAGCATGCAAACAAAAAATAAATAGGAAAACTGACTGTTAAATAAATATATAAATAATGAAACGCGTAATTCAACGGAAAATGGAAGCAAACTTTGTTTGGGACGCTGGATACTGCGAACGTAGGTAACATTCTAGTTCGTCATCAATAATTACATGATCTTCGAGTGAACTTAAAAATGATATTCGCTTCTTTGGTGGTTCTCCATCATCTGCACCTAAATTTTATTTTGAATTACAAACATTACTAGCTGGATGTTCTAGCTATCCAAACATTTTCTGAGCAAAGGAAGATATATAATATTTTCCACTCTTCCCACACTGTTAATTCCATAGAATCGAAAAAATTTTGAACTGCAAACTTTACCAGAAGGAAGTTCTTCGCTTTTTAGATTCTTCATTTCGGATGTTCCGATTAATTCACGTATTCTTGAATAAGTTTCTGACCTGAAAATCTAACTTTCGCATGACTGTTAAGGAAAATTATGAAGTCTACAATGAAAGTACTAAGTACGAGAATAAATGACAGTTCAATCCAATATTCAAAGTTCCTCACAAGCATTATTTCAATAAAGAGATAATCACCTTATTCTGAAAAATTGAAAAAAAGAGAACCTTTCTTCGTCTGAGCAAATTACTGGGAGATGTTTAAGACGAGGATTTAAAACAGTTGCCATGCGATGTTCAGGCATAATCACTGATCCTGTGGCACTTCGTAATGCACTTTCCGTTTTTCGTCTTAGCGCAGATATCCATGTCGATGCATCGTTATTGTTCAAATCATCTTCATCATCTGATGAAAATTCATGGATCAATGCGAACCATTCCGGCTGTACCTGACGAAGAAAATTTTTCATAAACAAAACAAGTTAATATAAAAAATATGAATTCACAGATGCATTCAGATACATAAATTATGAGCATTACGATAGATGAATTAAATTTCAGGACTGAGCAGGGAAGGATAATATACTACCATATGAAAAGATATTGTTGACTTATTGTTGAAAATTGATGCTATAATATGAAATGGCTCCAAATATTTTCGAATTTCATCAGCAGTTGACCAATCAATCGATCGTACCAGTTCCACAATATCTGAACAGTCGCTGCGTACTTGTTATTACAATTATTGGCTTGACAATAATAAATTTCAATGACGTAAAATGCTACAGGTTATTAACACTGTTTAAGGGAAAGGCAACCATAAACAATGAAACAGATATCGTCAACAAAATTGAGATATTCATGCAGTACATTTTGGGCGTTATTCCACTGCTGCATATATACATTAAACAGTGACAAGGAGATCAAGTTACCTCCAAATGAGAATTCTAATCCTCAGCGAAATAATGTAGTAACCATATATAAGACGTTCTATGGCAATTAGAAGAAGGAAAATGTAAACGGTGACTACAAACAAAATATACCTGGATACTGGGAAACAGGCAAATGATGAACGCAATCTTTAAGGTATTTTAACATTTCGTAACCGTAAAATAAGTAGTCCAATTTCCCAGCTCTTTTTTTATTTGGTGGATCAGCCCAATGGTCTAAGCCTGACTTTTCTATCGCATCTAAAACGAGAAATTATATGCTAAAAACAAAACAAATGGCAAACAAATGCAACGAATAACTTACACGAACTCAAAAGATGTGCTATTTGTGCTTATCAAGATTTACAATACCCTGTTCGGAAATAAAACGAGTAGCAAGGAAGATTACCAACTATTTTCTGACACTCCATAAAAATGGTAAACACATTGTGTCTCTGATCACACAGTTCCCCGAAAATTTCATGGATGAGCTGCAACACATGGATTTTTAAATATTGACAATCTGATTATTCAAAATCTACCCGCGACTACTATGGATTTGGCAGATCAATGTTATTGAGTCATGGCAATTATTTAAACCAGATATGCTTAAATAACATTAAGATTGTACAAGAGGCTTGATATTATAGGAGTTGAATAATTTAGAATGACTATAAGTTTACAAAAGTTACATTATTCAGTGTATAACATATGCAGTAAAGATGGGCATGTCCACTACAATTCGGGATGTTTTCTGTAACACATAAAAGTCTTTTGGATTCACCCGCTTCTCGGATCATTGTTTCCAGTCCTGTTTTCACTTTTTCTAATGTGTCAACACTGAAATAAACACATAGGTTGAATCATATACATTTAATTTAACATTAATTTAAACTTACCCAAAAATCAAAATTCTTTGCCCTTCAATCAGAAAAGCAGACAATGTCAAAGTAAAATACCATTAGTAAAACGAAATTAGAAATACAAGTAAACTTACTTCATAATGTGATGCTTATATTTCCATTCTGCTGTGATATAATTAGCAGAAATAACAGCAATATCATCTTCGTTTGCAACGCGCTCTACTGAAAACGAGAAACCGGATGTACGAGCAATTTGTCCTACTTCTGCAGTCAATTCTGATAGCACCATTGCTGTATTAGCTTCAATAGCCTGCGAAAACAAAGTATCACCATCAAATATAGTTTTTAAGACACGTATATGGAATCTCGGTGAATATTACTGAACAGTATATATGTCAGAAATTCATATCAAACATCAAAAATAAAATTGGTTTTCAGAATCAAGGTAATCAAAAAAAAACTGCTAACCTGATTTAGGATAGAAATTTCAGGGATCAGTGTTGAAACTGCTTGACGATCCGGACACCGGCAACGTCGTCCAACCGATATGGCCGTCTCGATAACACCATGCATTCCGTCTCCCTAAAAAACTCCGAATGAACATCGCTATTATTACTGATCATCAAAAAAAAAAATTAAAATCAAATCAAATTAGATTAAAAATTAAATTTGTGATTAATGAATCCAAGTATATGGCAGAATCCTAGCAAATCCTGATATAGTTTCAATGAATAACGCATCCTTTCTCTGCGTCATATATGTGATATTTCACCCAAGCTAGATGTAGAAAAAGTGATCACATATGAAATTTTAGGAAAGTTAAAACCAAGAAGTACAAAAGTGACCTGAAAAATGGTAGGTGGAAGTAAATCGATAGCACAACATCGCATAATTGCACTGCAAAATATTCGGCGATCATAATCACTAAATGATGTCTCAAATGACGACTGCGCCGTAAGACTTGTATGTGAAGCTAACGGTGGTGCTGGGGAATCCTGAAAATATTTTCAATAACATAATTACACTCCACTAACGTTTCTTTTGTTTAATGAATGATAAGGAATTTCTCGCTAGTCTTCAGAAGTCAGGCCCTACACTAAAAGATTTATTGATCGAATCATTTTTCTTTGGATCTATCATTTCTTCTTTGAATCATTGGCAACAGAAATGCATATGTCAAATGCATATGTCCTCATACATGTGTTGCCAATGCATATGTCCTCATACAAAATAATCAGTGATATATTCAATACTCTAGGATAACGATCTGAAAAAACACAACATAGCCTTACGGGGGACTGAAAATTACAACCATTCTCCGTTTAGCTTTTTTGGTGATTTATATTTGATCACAAAAAATATATAAATTAAAAAAAACATATAAATTCAAATATAAATCCACCAAAGGAAAAAAATGCCTGCAGCTTCAAATATAAATCACCGAAAAATCAAAATCTTTAAAAGAGCAGCATGATACCCTTCTGTATGCAGTAGATGTATCGGGAGACAACTGACCAACATATCCTGATGCAAGGGTTTCAAAAGATTGCTGGCCAGAGGTATCATTCGTTGCTTCCGTTGAAGAGCTGAAAATAAAACCAGTAAAACTGGTATGAAATGGAGAATCTCCAATTTCGATAAAATATACGCAATTTCGAAATAATATCCTGATGGGAAGAAACGAACAATCTCATCTTCCTTGTTCTTGAAACATTTCGCTTTTTCCCTCCCTCCCTCCTCCCTCCTCTCTCTCTCTCTCTCTCTCCTTCTTCGTT